CCCCAAAACCCCAAAACCCCAAAACCCCAAATCGAGATCTAACAATAGAAAATTTCTAAATAATATTAATATTAAAAATGAAGAAAATAGATGGGCTTTATTTAACCGAAGAAATAGGCAAAGGTTCCTTTGGAACTGTCTATATTTGCAAAATAAGAGACCAAAATCTTTTACAAAAAGTAAGCATTCCCAAATCTTCTCCTGAAATCATCATTTCCACTCAGTTTTACACTTAAATGAATAAATACCAGTGCTCGACCATTTTTAGTAATAAAAACAATTTTCACCTCTGAATAAATTTGCAGTTCATGGGCTCCTTCTTAGATATATTTTCTTACTAATTCTAATTTAGTCAGTTCTTAGTGAAGTTTATAAAGAAACTTTACGCAAAGGAAAGAAGATTGTTTGCAAAGTGATAAATAGAAGGACTATCAACCCTCTGATGAGTAAGAGTCTTGGAAGAGAAATCGAAACAATGATGAAGATCAAGCATCCAAATGTCCTTGCTTTCCTTGAAGTTAAATAAAACCAAGAATAACGTTTACATCTTCTTAGAACTATGAAATGGGGGAGATCTTACTAGACTCCTTAAGCTGAAACGAGGGTCGCTGGATGAAAACCAAGTTAAGATTATTATCAAAAAGATTGCTGAAGGACTTAATCATTTGAATCAGAAAGGAATAGTTCATCGGGACTTGAAACTAGACAATATCTTACTGAATTTTCCTGGATATAAGAAGCACTGGAATACCTCAGATAGGTATATTAGCAAGTACCAAATTCAAGAAGGATGAGATTTAGAGGTAGTTATTGGAGATCTGGGATTTGCTAGACCTCTTCAGGCGAAAGAACTTGCTGAAACCTTTTGTGGTACTCCTCTTAATATGGCTCCAGAAATTATTAATGGAATAAAGTATGATTCTAAGGTCGATATATGGTCACTTGGAACTTTAATGTTTGAACTTCTAGTTGGGAGACCTCCTTTTAGTGCTGATAACTGTAAAGAACTTAAAAAGCAAGTAAATAATGGTCAATATACAATACCAGACAGAATAAAGCTATCTCCGGAATGACTAGACTTAATAGACAAGTTGCTAAAGTTCAGCCCCGAAGAGAGGATATCTCATCAAGAAATTCTTACCCATGACTTCTTCACTGATGAGATTGATACAGAATCCTTTGACCCTATGGAAACAGTTACTAATATGGTCAGCAAACTTGGGCCTTCCGAAAAATCTGATATTTTCAAATGGAAAAATCAGGGCTTGAAGAAGGAAAAGAAGACAAGCACTAAAAATACTTCAAATAAGGGTTTAAAGAAAATCAAAGAAGAGGTCAAAAGGTTAGATTTAGATGACTCCTGTGAAGTACAAGACTACTGAGACGATTTGCATTCTAGTGACAGTGATCAATTTGTGGTAATGGAAGATTCCATTCAGGATGATCAACTCCAAGAGAAAGACTCAATGGATGACCAGGATATGGCAAATTTGACATTTATTCAGACACATAAGATCGAATACTCTGCTGTTTCGAACATGAATAATATGGCTATTATTCAAAGACATGAATCTAATGGCGATAAGGGTATCTGCCTTGAAAGGACACTCGTTAGTAAAGATTTAGAGGATTTCTCTCCTATTGTGATGGAAGATGATTTAGAAATATTGAAGAAAGACAGTTGTGAGCCTAATAACTCTTGGAATGACGAGGCAGTTAAAATCTCTTCAAATCTCCCAAAACAGCCAGATGTGTCTATTCCTAACAATAATTCAGAGAGCCAGACTAAAGATGAAGAAATTAGTCGATCAAATGATAGCTGAAGTCAGAGTCCGAAAGAAGTAGACCAAATGGGTTTGGAAATAATTGAAAATTATCAGTGCAAAAATGAAATCGAAGAAAACGGGAAAAATCTTTCTAGTCAGATTAGTGATGGATTTGAATATATTAATTCTTCAAAGAGTTATTCAGACAGTTCAGATTTCAAAGAAAATTTGTATGATATCCCTGAAGACTTTGAGTTTTCAAGTGAAGCTGAAGAAATTGAAGAGAACGACAACTTCCAGAGAAATAATCTTATTAAAAATACTGAAGAGCCTGAACTTGATCTGGATGGAAGTTTTGAGATTGCTCACATGCATGATATTGTCATATACGAAACTTTAAGTCAGGATAAATGGGAGATATACAACCCTACCCCAGGTTTGCCCATTAAATCAGATGAAACTTAGACAGGATGATAACTTTTTAGAGGAGATCTTTAAGTTTACATGCTAAATTTAAAACAAAATGTATACAGCTTGGAACATTAGGGATTCATCGGAACTGCTAGATTGGCAACAAAGATTTTACTATCAAGTCATTTAGCCTACTTGGGTACAAAAGTTAGTGAGAAATGGGGGTTTAGTTTTGCTATCAATTTTCAATCTAGAACATTGGAAAGGGGTTTTGGGGTTTTGGGGTTTTGGGGTTTTGGGG